TTCTTTGTTTACTGACATGGTTGCAGTATTTTCACTCACATTGCAGTATTTTCATTCACACTGGTAAGGACCATAACCCAGGGATCAATCAGGAAATGCAGGAGGAGCAGGGTGGGGGTGGGGGGAGAGGGGAGGGGAGATCAGAGCCCACAGAGAGGAGATGCCCCTCCCTGGGGCCACACACTGGGCAGTGGCTGCTGGCATTCAGCAGGGATCTCCTGTTCTCAGGCCCCTTTCAACCGAGGGGTGTTTCCTAAAGAAACAATTGTGGAGGGGCCGTGGAGGTCACCTAGACCTCCCAGAATGGACAGCGGGATCTGAGTCACCATGCTGGCCCTGGGCTCTGGAGCCGGACCCTCAGTGGAGACCACAGGTCTTCTGAGAAGCGACTCCCAGCATGTTTGGAACTGTTTCGGACTCTGTCCCAGCTGGAGGGTGCAACCCCCAACCTCCAGCAGGAGGGGCGAGGCCCTCCCCTCAATCGCCAGGTGGTGTTGCCTTTGTTGGGGAACAGTGATCTTTGGTTGTGGGATGCTTTGCGGCTCTCTCGAAAAACTGCTTTGGCTCCAGTTGGCATCCCAGTCACTGGTTCCAGGGCAGCAGAAAAAGCATACCCTACGTCCCTTTGCATTCACATCTTCCCAGAAGAGCAAATATTTGCCCACGAAAATGCAGCTGCTCTTCTAAGGCCCCCTAAATGCCCAGCAGTGTGGGCGTTGCACTCTTGAGCAGGGAGTGGAGTAGAGGGACCGTGGCCCAGCGTGGCAACGGTGCTGTGGGTGTGTGGCAGGGAGGGCTGTGCAGGGAATTCTGTTTGAAGGGCCTCTGTTCATCCCTGCATTATGGACTGAGGTTTCATACCAGAAACTACAAAGGCACCAGGCATCCTAACTGGTCAGATACAGTCCCTCACCCTCGGGCTGGAGCCACCGGGAACTCAGTACCTCTAACAGAGACAATGCCCGGTGTGGGGAGAGGTCATGGGGCACTCCAGGGGCAGGGGCGGTGGTGCTGGTGAAGGCAGGGGATGCAGTTAAGTGTGGGGGCAGCAGGGCCCCTTGCTCTGGGGTGAGGGTTCTTGAGGAGACTACAGAGCATGTCACACACCATCCCCACCACACACCCCAAATTCTTAGCCGTGCCAACACATAGGACACTGCGCCCTCTCACCGTGGTTCTCCCGTGAGACCGCACCCAGCCAGGCATCTGGCAACCCCGCCCTGACGGCCTCCTGCCCCACCTCCCCTCTTGGGACAGACCCTGTCTTCTTGGAATCTGTCCGGCAGCGCGAATTCAAGGCCCGCAGAGGACCTGGAGAATTTGCACTTCAGGTGCCCTACCTAGCCATCTGTGCTGGCCTGGGCTCAGTCCTCTATCTTGCCCACCCTCAGACCGGGTCAAAGTCCGGTGAAAGCGGAGGCTGCGGAGCCAAGACTGAGCCCCGCACA